TATTCTAGTAAAATCTTGTCCTAAAAGTTCACGAGCAAAATGTCCACGGAGCAACTTCTGGCTTCAATGTGAATTCTTAAAGCCTGTTCACTTTATCCGTATCTCCAGACGAAGGTGTTTTGTACGAAATCTTGAAACCTAAGTCAACAATATTTCACAGTTTGGCATCAGTTTGGTTCCACCCCAACAAAGCTTCACACAAGCAGTAGTTCCATTGCCTGGAATGACCATACGATGTCACATTTTCCATACATCACTTGGTATATATCCTGTTAGTTATACGTACTTGGTAAACACCCTGTTTGTTACACGTACAAGGATAGCTACAAACTCCAGCTCGCCTGGTGTTTTTACCACAGCCAGTGTAGCCAACGAGGCAACAAGTAAAGAAACCTGATATCCTCGAGTATCTAGCGGTGGAAAACATTGCCGTCATATGTTTGAACTGGTAAGAGTTTTGATCTAAGCGATGAAAACCGATTCAATACGCAAAGTTTTTGCCTTGAAATAATCATGGTTGCTCTGCATCACTAAGGACGAAGACTCAGTCCACTGTCTGCGTACGAAGAACCCACCGGTTCATGTTCATCTTTTTTACCCCCTTTTTCTCTTACCTACAATTTCCTGCTCTTTTAAAAACTCATAAAATCACTAAGCATTCACATACTTCTGCCTTTTGTCGCCCATAATGATTGCCGCCAACAAACACACGCCAAGTAGTCCTGTCGTTTGCTATCACATGCATCTTTCTCCTGTCCTCAACATTCTATCAGCTTCACTCTCTTCTTACCTTCTCTTAGTGTGCGAGGATGGTCAAGTTGGTGGCGTTGCTCTGAAATCTATTCGCTTAGGTATTAATTATACGTTAGCAAGCCTTTGATAAAATTAATGTTCAAGTTTGACACCAGCAGCACAGCAAATAAAGGACCATTTTGCACGCCTCTAAGGCGCATTTGATATATAGGGCTAAACCTATATTTATAGAGCAAACGACACTTGGTGGGTGATGTGGCCAGCCTTACACTGGTCGCCTTTACTTCCCATGACTGTACCCTGTACCCACTCAAGGTTGGGTCGACCTGAGAGCCAAGGTCATTTTGAAAAAAATCCGGCCCTCGTCAGGAACCGAACCAACCACTTTTCGATCCGCAGCCAAGCGTCTAGCCGCTAGACCAAGGCGGCTACGTTGGAATGCATTTATCATAAGCTACATTCTCCGGTAATTTACGGTAACAGGTAATCCTCAGTGTTGCCATTTTGGATCTTTTATATCCAAATCTAGATCTTTTTCATTGCATTTAGATACTGTTTTTGACGTTTAGATCGTAAATATTTTTCTAGATTGTTTTCATATGGAGTTAGATATTTTATAGATTTTTTTCTTTCATTGCCAATTTAATAATTACTGTGTAAAATATTTACTACAATATTTTTGTTTTGGTCTGGCACGTACATTGTGACAATTGCCATTACTTGAACTTTGAACTCTCCCTGGGGTCAACGCACAAATATCTGGCAGCCCTAGTACTGATTAATAAAAACGCGCGTAAATCATACTAACTGTGTTTCAACCGTATCCTCACTGTGCTGACTTTGCGTTTCTTTTTCACGTTATTTAATAAAAAAATAATTGCTCACTTTCTTTTGTGGCTTTCATTTTGACAAAAATCTTTCAACATGCCAAAAGTAAAGTATGAGCACAACATTTGGAAAGAGTGGTTGCATGATGACAAAAATTAAAAACTGGGGATATGACCTGCTGCAAGTGTGAAATTAAAGCGAAAATACAAAACTCAAAGAGTCATGCAGAGACTAAAAAAGCATAAAACTTCAGTTTAATTTAAAGATATTACATCTGACATCTGTTTCCAGAACTATACTGATAAATGAATCATCAAAAGTTGAAGTATCAGTCGCAATGTTTTTAATTTGTCACTGCGCAATTTCAAACTGTGACCATTTGATCGATTTGTAAAAAATCTTGGACTAGTTGAATTTGAAAAGTGTGATGTAGAAAGTATAGTTTGGAACTGAAGGACCTTTTAATCAGCAAACAGTTAGGCTTGAAGAATTTGGCTGCAACTGGTACTGATAATGCCTGAGCGATTGAAGTGAGACAATTTAATGATGCTTCATCAAATAGTCCATTATGTAAGCTCTTTAAAGTGCCATGTCTGCCATGATACTACCCCACTCAAATGACGTAGAAAGAGTTTTCAGTGCTAGGAATTGTATCAAATCTAACCTAAAAAACAGGATGAAATTTGACCTCTTAAATGCTATCGTGCCATGAAAATTCGGCCTGATGAGACTAGAGAAATAAGCCTACTGTTCCACTTATAAAGAAATTTGAACAGCTAAAGCATACCAGGGTCATTTTGGATCTGAAGCTTCAACTTCATTATCCAAGCTAAGTTTATCCTGTGGATCTTGTGAGGCAGACATCAGTGAAGGTGAGGACATGATTATGTAGGGTACGTCATAACAAAAACTATGTAATTTTTGACTTTTTCACTTTGGATGTTTTTTCTAGATCTTTTCCACGCATATTAAGATCTTTTTAGATATTTTTGGACACCGTTTTGGATATTTTTTGTCAAAGAAAAGTGGCAACACTGGTAATCCTTATCAGTGTTGCCACTTTGGATCTTTTATATCCAAATTTAGATCTTTTTCATTGCATTTAGATACTGTTTTTGACATTTAGATCGTAAATATTTTTCTATATTCTTTTCAAATGGAGTTAGATATTTTATAGATTTTTTTTCTTTCATTGTCAATTTAATTATTACTGTGTAAAATATTTACTACAATATTTTTGTTTTGGTCTTGCACATACATTGTGACAACTGCCATTACTTGAACTTTGAACTCTCACTGGGGTCAACGCACAAATATCTGGCAGCCCGGGTACTGATTAATAAACACGCGCATAAATCATACTAACTTTGTTTCAACCGTATCCTCACTGTGCTGACTTTGCGTTTCTTTTTCATGTGATTTAAAAAAAATAATTGCTCACCTTCTTATGTGGCTTTCACTTTGAAAAAACCTTTCAACATGCCAAAAGTAAAGTATGAGCACAAAATTTGGAAAGAGTGGTTGCATGATGACAAAATTAACAACTGGGGATATGACCAAGGCTTGATGTAAGTACTGCAAGTGTGAAATTAAAGCGAAAATACAAAACTCAAAGAGTCATGCAGAGACTAAAAAAGCATATAACTGCAGTTTCATTTAAAGATATTACACCGCTGACATCTGTTTTCAGAACTATACAGATAAATGAATCATCAAAAGTTGAAGTATCAGTCGCAATGTTTTTAATTTGTGACTGTGCAATTTTAAGCTGTGACCATTTGATCGATTTGTAAAAAATCTTGGACTAGTTCAATTTGAAAAGTGTGATGTAGAAAGTATAGTTAGGAACTGAAGGACCTTTTAATCAGCAAACAGTTAGGCTTGAAGAATTTGGCTGTAATTGGTACTGATAATGCCTCACTGATGGTTGGTATAAACAATGGCGTTTATGCCAGGTTGAAGGAAGCTAACCCATCGTTAATACTTATAAAATGTATGCGTCATTCATTGCAGCTAGCATTATCACATGCTTCATCTAAATATTTACTAAGGAATTTGGAATTACCATATTGCTGAAACACTTTACTGGTTTTCCAAATAATTTGTCAGACAACAGCAATACAATACATTATATACAGCCTTGAATGATGGTTCCACACCACCGAAAAATTCTGTCAGATTGCAAAACTAGATGGTTATCAATTTAACCAGCTGTTGAAAGAATTATGAAGCAATGGCTGAAGTTGAAGACACACTTTGAAATAACAAGACAAAGTGAAAAGTGCTACACAGCTGAAATACTATTTGGAATGTACAGTGATGAAAAAAATGTGTCATTCATTCATTCTCTTTTTATAACCTATTCTAATGGAAGTGCAAAAGGTTAATAAACTGTTCGAATGTAAACTTGTTGATAAAGTTAAATTACTTGATGATCTCACCTTGTTATTTCACTCGGTAAAAGACTGGTGTTGCCAACTTCTAAAACTGATTTGCTCACTTGCACTATAGAGAGCTTTTTGGCTCCTAAGCCACACCTTGGATATTAAATCGAATCAAAAATTTATGATTTAAAAACAAAAGGACTGTTAACAGAGAATGAAGAGAACAACTTAAGAAAACGCTGTCAAGATTTCCTTATCTCATTATTGAAGCAACTGAAGCAGAGACTTCCTGAAAATCTAGATGTTTTGAAAAATATTTCACTTTTTTCTGTGAGCAACATACTTCAGCCAATAAAGGACATACTTAAATATTGTAAAGTTAGGAAATTTTTAGGGGCTACTGATAATAGTGTCGCGGAAGCAGAATATCAGTTAACCAAAATAAAGTTAGCTGAATGGACAAACAAAACAGAAACTAAAGCCTTTTAGAGTGAAGTGAGACAATTTAAAGATGCCTCGTCAAACAGTCCATTCTGTAAGCTCTTTGAAGTGCCATGTCTGCCATGATACTACCCCACTCAAATGCTGACGTAGAAAGAGTTTTCAGTGCTAGATATTATATGAAATCTAACCTAAAAAAACAGGATAAAATTTGACCTCTTAAATGCTATCGTGCCATTAAAATTCGGCCTAATGAGACTAGAGAAATAAGCCTACTGTTCCACTTATAAAGAAAATTGAACAGCTAAAGCATACTAGGATCATTTTGGATCTGAAGCTTCAACTTCATTATCCAAGCTAAGTTTATCCTGTGGATCTTGTGAGGCAGACATCAGTGAAGGTTAGGACATGATTATTTAGGGTAAGTCATAACAAAAGCTATGTAATTTTTGACTTGTTCAATTTGGATGTTTTTTCTAGATCTTTTCCACGCAGATTTAGATCTTTTTAGATACTTTTTGACACCGTTTTGGATATTTTTTGTCAAAGAAAAGTGGCAACACTGATCCTTATCAACGACCTTTATTTTATAACATGGCGTCCGAAGTGGAGTTAGCCCAGTCAGCGAAACCTGGAGGGGACACGATATTTGGTAAAATAATTCGTGGAGAAATAAAAACAGATTTTCTTCACGAAGATGACCAGGTATTATCCTTTAATTAGTACGGCAATCCATTATTGGAAAGCAAGAAAGACATTGCTTGCATTGTTTTCTTCTCTTCTCATATAGTCATTCATTCTTAGAATTGTGACTTAGACTTATTTATCTTCGGGTCTTTAAAAAAAAAATCCTCCGGAAAGTATGTTGAATTAAGAATCGAATCGACATCACAGGACTCGTGACACTCTCATAAGCCCTCCGTCACCATCTTTAACAGCAAGCGAAGAATTCAAGTTTCGATGGTACGAGTTAACTGATATCACGAGAGTGACCAGATCCTCTGGTTAAGTCCTTGCAGCACCATTCTCCACAGACCTTAGCCTTAATGATCTGAATGTGCATCCGTACCTTTCACTTGCTCCCAATAAAGGTCCCTCACAACATCTATCTTGTCAAACATCAATTAACCACCAAGTGGTGCAAAACCGACTCGTCTGTCTACCTGCTTGTTTCTCAACACACTGGCATGACCTAGAGAAAATATCCAATGGGTGCTCACTTTCCAGGACCTCTGAAGCGATGCTTGCCACTATGCATGAAGAATGCCTGTCTTCACCTTTCTCAACATGCCCTCTGAGTCAGTTAAATTATGATGTGTGTACAGCCGATTCTTAGGCCAGCAGAAGGCAACAGTGACTACCTCCACCTCCATTATCAAACTAGTTGTGATGTGATATATGTCAGACTTTGCTGCACTAAGTGACGTCCATTCAGATAAGCAGACTGTCCAATACTTCACAAAGTAAAATGATGGACACTCTTATTAGTTTTCTCTGGCCCAGGAACAGAGCAACTATGGGGTGACCTGTTTACTATGAAGCTGGAACTGTGGTCCTCTGACTACCAGAAAAACAATGTGCCTACCCAGCTCTAGGTCACTCGACTGTAGGATGTTAATTTTATTACCTCGACGTGGAATCAAATGAACCAAATGTGTAAATTAGTTTTTAAATTTATAAATTTCCTTTTCAGTGTGTTGCCTTCAATGATATTGCACCTCAGGCTCCAGTTCACTTTCTCGTAGTGCCAAAGAAGCCAATTGTAAAGTTGTCTGATGCGGATGATTCTGATGAACAGGTAAAGGCCTTTCTAGTATTAACAACTTGCTGATTTGTTTATGATACTAAGAATTGTTTGATACTCATTTTAATGAGGTTGGTTTGACCCTAGAACTATTTCTTCTTCTTAATCCCATTTAATGTTTATCAGTTTCCGTAGACTTTTTAAATGCAATTAACTTTTGTTCCATTTCTTTATTGGTTGGTTCTTCAACTTTCAGTTTTCTAGCACTGGGCGCCGTTTAGCAAAGCCACACAAAAACAGTATTAACAACTGCTGATTTGTTTCTGATACTAAGCATTGTTTGATACTTACTTTAATGAGGCTGTTTTGACCCTAGAACTATTTCGTTTTATTCAGTCCTCCCCCCATGAGGCTTTGAACCAATTTGCCCTATTCTTTATATGCCTTTCATGCCATGTCCTTTTCTTTTCACTTCAGTTTGTATTTTGTTTTTCCCATGTTTTCCTTCCACATCACTGTCATCATCATCATCCTGTAGTGTCATTTATTCACACAGAGCTGGCTGTCTGTTCCTCCACTCTAGTCTGTCCTGCACAATCTTGTCAGTATCAAGGATGGAATCCTGTTCAGCACCTTTGATCTCTCTCAGATCATTCTTTGCTGGATTTCCAAGTTTCTCCTGTCCATTTGTTTCCCCATTTCAGTACCTGTTGAAGTAGTCAAGCCGTTTGCCTCACGCTCCTAAAGTCGTGGGTTCTCGTTTCACGGCTGCCTCTAGTTCATGAGTGCAATTTTTACAGAGATTCCTGAGGATTGTCGCCAGAGCTACGGAGTTTGTGCTTTGCCTGAAGCTCTCTGCAGGCGGCTAGCCATTCTGTGGAGAGAGACGGAGCTGTATGAGATAAAACTGGGTGCAATGAAGTTGATCCTCTCAACTTTAATCTTTGGTATCTATTTGACGATTCACTGTCACATGTCCAGATGTTTGACAGTTTATTAAAGGCACTAGATGCCAGTGTGGTTCTAGATTATTATATTAGTTCGTTAGTCTTTCCTCTTAAGCCTAAGGTGATGCATAGAGCAAAGGTCCATAGCTCTCCATGTCTGGTGGTTCTTGCATATTCGTTAGGCCCATAGTTGAGCCTTCCCTTATGATGGTTCTGTGCAGAGTCTCTCTTAGTCTTCGCTGTTTTCTTCTTCCTTCCGGGGTCCATATGAGGGCTTGATGGGGGAGTCTTGATTTTTCCATTCTGGGTGCATGGCTAAATGTAATTCCAGGGGCATTGGAATTTCAGATTCCATACAGCAGATATGGTAGAGTGACTTATGCAGTTGCCACAATGGACTGATAGAAATAGAGTAATAGGAAGGCAAAGATAGAAGGCAAGACTGATGGACCCAGATAGCCTGGCAGATTACATCATATGCCATGCAAATGATCATGGCAGTCATAGTTCACAATCTATCTCACATGACCAGAATCATGGATGATCAAGGCAGTATTCTGGTCTCACTCAGGCCATTTAGTATCCAAGTCATTGAGGTAATAATTTTGTGTAAATTTTTAAAAAATTGTTTGTGTTATGGTCTTCGACTATCTCTTTTCTCTATCGATTGACAGTTTTCACCAAGTTTGTGAATCTGTTCCTTCTCATAACAAAGTATTTGATTTCCTGATTTCAGCTCCTGGGACATCTGCTGATTGTGGCCAGAAAGGTTGCCAAGCAGAAAGGGCTCAGCAAAGGCTATAGGGTGGTGATCAATGATGGCCAACATGGGGGACAGTCTGTCTATCATATACATATCCATGTCATTGGTGGTCGTCAATTGGGCTGGCCTCCAGGCTAGGTGATCTTTTATCTTGTTCAGGGCTGTTCAGTTTTATTGCATTTTTCAGCATGTTAGATTTACTTATGTTGCTAATTTGTTGTTGATCAATCATTAAATTAGGAAGTCAAATTGAACTTGTGTTGGTCTGGATAGCTAGGAGAATGGATCATATTTAATGGGGGAAAAAAAGAAAAGAAAAAAAGCAGCTGCAGAGAAGTGGAAATGAAAAAAAGTTGTTGAAATAAGTGGAGAGACAAATGAAATTTTAGTCTCAGTGAAAATAAGCAGATCTTGATTAAAGATTTAGTGAAAAATAAGAGATCTTGAGTGCAGAAAATAAGCAAATCCTGACTACAGTCTTGATAAACATAAGCAGAACCCCGAGTGCAGTCTCGGTTAACTAAGCAGATCTCGTCAATAATAATTTTCTTGAATTTTAATGGGTACAGTGTAATTTTTTGTTTTGTTGAGTAATTTGTTGCTCATATTCATTGCTCTTGATTTTTAGTCAGTCAGTCTGAGTCATAATAGTTTTACATTTACCATTGTCATTGTTTTTACGCTTCATCTGGTGAGGCTAATTAAGTTAGTTACGTATCCTTTACAGGACGTTAACCAATCCCAGTATTTTTTGGCTGTTGTTGTTTTTCTAGGCAAATTTTCGTTCAGTAGTTTGCCAAAGCTTTCTGGACGGTCGGCTTCTCTATACCACTGTCGAAACAACGCAAGGTGCATGGCCTGTAGCTGAGATCGATCCCGGCATTACGAAGTGCGTTCGCAACGCCTAAGCCACAGAGGCCGACGAAGCTAATGAGGTGTTCAAAGTGGCTCTGCCAGTTATCTGTAATGCCACTTGAGGTATCTGAAGAGCTGTTTCACTCCTGCACTGATGATCTGAAGTGCTTGCGATATTTGAGTACCTAGTGTCAGACATTTTAGGTTCAGATACAGCTGGTTGCTGGCTTTGTATCAGTTTTCTAATCTGTTTAAGCGGGTAATTAATTTCTTGTTGCTTATAATTGTTGTATCATTGTTCCATATATATATATATATAGGTATCAGGCACTGTAATGTAATGTCGACCACATTACCCATCAAGTGGGGTCTATTATAAATATGAATCCAGCATAATACGTCACTGGCATGAAAAGGATCGTTACTTACTCTACTGATAAATTTACATACACATGTATGCACACACACACATTTTTGATTTTTGCCCATGCTTCAAGTGTTTACACTGCCAAATTAGAATGTTAACACAATTATTCTTGATGAAATAAGGGGCTTTCTAATTTTTTGTCATTTTTACCATTAAATGTTCACATACAAACCTTCTCTTCTGGTATAAGACTGATTTGAACTGCTGTGTTGTATGTTTTAAGTTGACTGAAGTAACGAAAAAGCTTAATTTGTCACCTGGCCACCTCAGTCAATCATTTTCTGTGGCACAGGCCCTTCTTCAAAATTCTTATTGGTGTCTGTCAAGCAAGTGACTGATAATTCTATGTTTACATTTCAAGATGTCTAAGAAGGGGAAATAACTGAAAATTTTTTTTTAAATATTAAGCATAATTGATACCAGTACTGTGGCAATACTTTGTGTTTTTCACCTTGTTTCCATGCGATCACAATAAAATGTTTGTTATTCAGGTTCATTGTTGCGTTTAGATATATTTTCATGATAATTGTAAGTGACAGAGATGTTCCATACAGGACATATCACACTAAGATATCTCTTCAACAAGAAAAATGTGAGGGGCATCAAAAGAAAACCTTGAATATATGGTAGCTAAAACTGTCAATAACTGTCTTTATTACCACTTTTTTGCGGGGGAGGGGGGGGGGGGGGGGGGGTTGACCTGAGGATTTACGGTCGCATGGCTAGTGCTGTTGCCACGACTGTGCAGGTGATGATTTTATTTTTCCCCAAACAGAAAAAAATCCCCAGCTTTTACCGAGGATTCTAACCTGGCTTGAGAGCCCAGCATTCCAACCGTTCGGCCAGCTGCTTCTCAAATATGGTAGCTATTGGCAGGTTAGAAGGCAATGGTACATAATACTGTGTACACTTATTACAGGCCCCCTATTTATAACTTTCTGGGAAGTTGTATGGGGTCTGGGATTTGTCCAGTTGGATTGACATTCAGAATGCAACTCTCTAAGATGTAGTGGTGTCAGACCTTTAAGTAGTAGCTCGGAAGGAGAGAACAGTAAGTCACTCAGATAGTAGCTGCTGGTAGAGGTGACAAGGACTGCTAGAACAGAAACTACACTGTTTACACATTGTTGATCGTTGTCAATACTTTGGGGGCATATTATTATGAGAAGGAATGGACTCAAAAACTTGGTGACAACTGGCAAGATTGATGGAAAGAGAGCAAGAGGAAGGCAAGGAAATAATTTCCTGGACAGCTTGGCCAAATGGTGGGGCAAATCAAAAACATTGAAGTGATTCTGGTGATCACTGAGAGATAGCGAAACATGACAGCCTATGATTACTGGCACAGCACATGATGATGATGATGATAATCATTGTTTTGTTGACATATAAGGGTTAACATGTACAGATATATGAAGTAAGAAGAAAAAAATAAACAAACTATTAAGATCAAATTCTATTTCGTAGATTTTGAAAAACATTTACATAAACATTAAAACAAATTTAAAAAATATTATATCTTTCCAATATAAAGGAAACTTTTTTTTCTGTCAGGAACAGATTTAAAAATTCTTACCTGCACAATTTGTGGCAAGTGTATTAGCCACTCTACACTATATCCTCTGGTTCAAGAAAAACCATGTCTCTAGATGTGTAGGTATCCTACTTGACCACTCACTTATATTTAAAAAAAAAAATTATCTTGTAACAAAAACCTTTACATAAATATTTTCTTCTTCTTCTTCTTCTTCTTCTTCTTCTTCTTCTTCTTCTTCTTCTTTAGCATTCCTAGCTAGCCCTTGGGATTCATTTTGCAGATATCACCTGCCCCCATGCTCTTTTTTCAACTCTAAAGGCTAGAAAATCTGCATATACAAATCTCTCCAAGATCTTTGTGTGTATGTGTGTGTGTGTTTGCACCATGGTCTGGCCCCTCTCAATTTCTTTTACATAGACATTTAAAAAACATATTTCAGTTCTAATCTTCCCAATATATTCACTCAATATAAATGTATAGATAAGATACACATATTTAACAAAAACATTTCTATAATTATTGTCAAACATAGTTCTAGGCTACATAAGATCTCATAGTATTAATTCATAGGGGATCCAACATTAGGTTACCAGCGCTAGACTTGGACACTGACCAAAGAAAATCAGAGAAAACTAACCATCTGTGAAATGAGATGTTTATAAAAGGCTAATGAATAACTAAATCAGAAGAGATCATGCGAGGAATGAATTGATTAGAACTATCTGAATGATATCCATAATTAAATTCATTGAAAAACAAAGACACACAGTTTGGCCACCAACAAGTGAGAATGAATCCAACAATGTCAGCATCAAAAGTGTGCAACATGAAAATGGAAACACTTAGAGGCAGAGGCAGACCCAGATGGATATGGACTGAAGGAGCAAACGACAGCTTAAGATCTCACAACATTACATCATACCAAGCAACTCAGCACACCCTGGCTAGGCTGTAAGTCATCCATTAAACTGTGATGGCTAAAGGCTCAAAGCTGATACTGACAAAAAAAGATTCAATATAAAGACATATATTTTACAGGGCGAATGGACACAAGTTTCTAGAAAAATGATCATGTTACTAAATATTTTTAAACATATTTCAATGTTAAATATAATGTAATATTCATTCAAATAGAATGTATAGACATATATTTCCCATAAGTAAATGGAAACTTCTTTTTCTTAATGTGTGCCGGCTGTATACTCGGGCAAAAAGTTCTAGTCGTTCGTCCACTTCTGGACTTCGGTCTCTTGTTCCTTAAGTCGAGATTTGCATGTACATCCATTTGGTAGATCTGGCTTTTTTTGTATACAGACTGTTGGTTCCTTGCCTCTCAAGCAGATGCTATCCGACTTTGAAGGAAACACTCTTAATTAGTGGCCTCCTACGACATGCTTGTTAGTGGGGCACTGAGTCAGTTTTTTCTTCCTCCAACAGGGCCCTAGAACACACATGCAGATAAAGGATACAAGTTTCTACACTGTGACAAACATTTCTTAAACATTTTCAAACATATTTCTATGTTATACAAAACATCACTACATAATTCAAAGAAGATACAGAGAATGTAATTCACAAGCAAAGGCATATGTGTATCATTATTTAAAAAAAGCATATATACACATTTCAGGTAATTGTGTGAATACTGTTTTAGCTGTAGAAATGAAAGAATGTCAGCCTAAAATGGGTATCTGGAAATATCTTGGGAAGTAAAGACATCTGTGATGTGAAGTCATCCATCAAACGCTGACTGTTGTTACATGATCTGATCATTGAGGAGAATTGGCTCATAAACATCATTTTGTCCTGAAAGCTCAGGTATTTTGGCCGTTAAATGGCATGGTGGCTCGGAGAGAACAGTGATGGAAGGTACAGTTTCCTGAAAAAGAGGCAGAGGCCGACCGTCGCAAAGTTCGATAGAGGAAATTTAAGTGCATGGGCTATACGAATACTGGAGAATTGAGAAAGAGAGATTTTCATGTGTGCTATGAAGGGAGCAACATTCTATAAAGAACTACTGGTTGGTGATTTTATATATATATATATATATATATATATCTGTGTGTGTGTGCGTGCATGTGTGCCTGCATGCATGCATGTATGGAAAATATGTAGAATACCATGGATGGATTAAAACTTTTTATGAGGCAGTCTTGAAGAAGCAAATGAAATCAATAAATTAATTAAATAAATTAGGTGTAGGTAGTCACAACTTCCTGGGCACAATAGAAGAATAAATAAGCTCGAAAACTAATGACATCTGGAATATTTGATGGCAAAGGGGAAGACAAAGGGATAATTGGATGACACAGCCAAAAA